AGTTAAAGACTGCTAATGGATTGGAAATTCCGTATTGTGGTTATTTGGAGCTAGAGGTTGAGGTTTTGGGTAGAGTTCTCCCTAAGATGGTAGTACTAATCATGAGAGATCCTAAGGATTCCTTGACAAAGCAAAAAAAAGCTCTCAGTTCCAGGCCTTCTTGGTATGAATATTCTTAATTGTTGTTATCAAGACCTTTTTTGCCAGTATGAAGGAGATTTTATTTGCCTCTGTTACAGTACAGCAGGCAGGAAAGGAGTGGAAACGAGCCCTGTTGGAATGCCAGAGTCTAGCTCTGACTGCAGGGACTGGTTTGGTGGGGAAGGCAATTGTAAGAGTAGGATCTGCAATACGAGTTCCTGCGGGTTCCCTTCAGTGGGTCCCCACAAACTACTGTCAGAATATGGCTCGTGTTATCACTTCTGTTTTTTTGAAGCCACCAACAGGTGAGGAGGGTGTTTTACCTGCTAATATTCACGAGAGAACAACAGTATACAAGTGCCATGATAAGTCTCAGTTAGTCTAGCACAGTACACGAAGCTAGGTTTAAAAAAAAAAAAAAATTTATTATTATTAAATAATAGAATGGAATAGAACAGAATAGAATAGGCAAGTGCTAGAATTAGTTGGTCAGGTGCTGGCAAAAAAGATGCGTCTTTAGATGTTTTTTGAAAATGGCTAAAGACTTGAATTTGAGTTCGAATTGAGTTCGAATTGAGATCGGGAGGTCATTCCACCAGCCGGGCACTGTCCAGGAAAAGGTCAGAGAGAGATTGTAAGAGTAGGATCTGCAATACGTTATCACTTCTGTTTTTTTGAAGCCACCAACAGGTGAGGAGGGTGTTTTACCTGCTAATATTCTAATCTCAAAATGTATTTTGCCTGTGGACAAAGGTGTAGTACATGTCCCTATAGTAAATCTTGGAGACAGGTACCAGTGGCTTAGGCCAAACACTTTTCTTGGTCACTTGTATATGGTCAGCTTACATCCTCTACAGTCAACAATCTGGGTGTTATATTAGACAGCAACTTGTCTTTTGAAAATCATATTTCCCATGCTACAAAAACAGAATTCTTCCATCTTAGAAACATTGCCAAGTTACGAAACATGTTACCTGTTTCTGATGCAGAAAAGCTAGTTCATCAGATCCTAATGACGACATGTAGATGGAGAAGAGAAGTGGTCCAAGCACTGAGCCTTGAGGAACCTCAGTAGCAAGAAGTTGTGACTTAGAAACCTCACCGCTCCAAGACACCCTGAAGGACCTACCTGAGAGGTAAGACTTGATCCACTGGAGTGTGGTTCCTGAGATGCCCATCTTCATGAGGGTGGACAGGAGAATCTGGTGGTTAACTGTGTCAAAAGCAGCAGACAGATCCAGCAAGATGAGTACTGAGGATTTGGAAGCTGCTCTTGCCAGTCTCAGGGCTTCAGTAACCGAGAACAGGGCAGTCTCAGTTGAGGTCCTTACCAGGTCAAGAAAATAAGATCATATTACCCCAATTTTGCAGTTTCTGCACTGGCTTCCTATTAAGCTCCGTATCAGTTACAAAATATTACTACTTTTATGGCCCAAAATGGTTTAGCCCCTGTGTACCTAACTAGCCTTCTATCATGCTACAATCGGGATTTGCATCCCGTGGTAACTAGGAATTTCACAAGCATCAGTCTGGATCCAGAACACCTGAGACGAGATGATGCCAACCCCTCAGAAGACCTCAGATGATGCCAACCCTGAAACAACATACAGAACTACCACATTTTGCTATAGGTTTGATTGCATCATATAATAATTGCTGTTAATAGTGTTCATCGTCTGTTGAGGAGAGAGAGTGTGTATTTGTCGTTATGAAGTTATCATCAGTTTGTGGTGTGGGGAATTGGTCACTGATGGTTCTTGTTTTATTTGTGAAGAAAATTGCACAGTCATCAGCTGTAAGAGTTGATGAAGGCAGAGGGGGAGGAGGACAGAGAAGAGAAGAGAAGAGAAAGTTTTGAAAAGTGTGCGAGGGTCAGAGCAGTTGTTAATTTTGTTGTGGTAGTATGTCGTTTTAGCAGTGGAGACATTTGCAGAGAAGGAAGAGAGAAGTGACTGATACACACTAAGGTCGGTCGAGTTTTTTTATTTGTGCCATTTCCTCTCTGCAGCCCTGAGTCTAGAGCGATGTTCACAGAGAACATCGGACAGCCAGGGGTCTAGGTGGATGTTGAAGTCACCGAGCAGTACCAGAGGAGTACCATCCTCAGGAAAATTTGAAAGTAACTCATCCAACTCCTCCAAGAAGTTGCCCAGTTGACCTGGGGGACGATAAACGACTACAAAGTGAATTTAAATAATGAACTGCTTCAAAATGTTAATGAAATCATGAATGAAATGTTCTGTTAATGAAATCATTGTTGATACATTTGCAGTAAGACTACTGTACATATAAAAACAATATAACAACATCATTACAAAGCATAAATCTTTATTCAGATTTCGTGAGCACTTTGTCATTTGTAATACATATGTTGAGGATTTCGTCCATCTGCTGTTTATCATGTTCATCTGATGTTTGCTACTGTTATAAATATGATACTTAACTTCTTAATATGCAGGGGAAATTCCCAACATTAAACAAATAACCAAATTTACATGCAGGATGTTTGCGTTGTACATTGATAACTCAGATATAAAAATGCTGACTCGTTAGGTGATGTTTTTTCATTAAAATCGTATGATTTCCTATTAATTCACTAGAATGCATGGGAATACTTGGGAATACCAATATGGCGGCGCAGTGGCTTCACAACGTCATGAGCAATCCAGTTCTCTATTATAGATCAGTGGTGTAAACTTATAATAATGGATTACTACGGTCATGCACGACTTAACAGACACACGCACGTCACAGTAATAAAGTCCTCAAGACACATCAGATTTTCTCTAATATACCGCTTTACCTCAAACATCTTGTTTTCCACTGATCACAAGTGAACGGTTTCTCTCCAGTATGAACTCTCATGTGCTCCACAAGACTTCCTTTTATTCTGAAACTCTTCTCGCACTGATCACATGCATACGGTTTCTCTCCAGTGTGGATCCTCTCATGTATTTTCAGAGTTGCTGACAGAATGAATCTCTTGCCACAGTGTGAACACTTGTAAGGTTTCTCTCCAGTGTGGATTCTCTCGTGCCAATAAGGATTAATTACAAAGCTACATGACAGTACTGTATATCTTGCATCTGCATTTCCTAAATACATCATAAGTGGAAGAATAACTAGTCATTTTAGAAACCACAGTGAAGAACAAAATTTAAAATAAACCTAAGTCTTTCTTAAAAGTGTTACAGCCTCTTCTTCAGCTCCCTGAACAAGAACGGTTTGTAAAAACTTCTGCTTTCCTTCATGAAAGAGTAAGCACACTACAAGTGACACATATGCATTATAAGACAATTGAACAACATGAAACTCATAAGGAAGCACAATGATATCATTTATATCATGAAGCAAAATGAAAAACAAGAATACATTTTTTTGACATTGTTCTTTGGAGAGGAACTCCATCTTTGAGTTGCTCTGAATCTCACTGTTGAATCGGCTGGTTTTGAAGATGAAGATGAACTTTATTCACTGTGGACTTGCTGAGTGTGTGAAACTCTTTCCACACTGATCACAAGAGAACGGTTTCTCTCCAGAATGAACTCTCATATGCCCCGTAAAATGTCCTTTTCGTGTGAAACTCTTCCCGCACTGATCACATGTGTACGGTTTCTCTTCAGTGTGGATCCTCTCATGTATTTTCAGGTCTCCTAACCGACTGAATCTCTTGTCACAGTGTGAACACTTGTATGGTTTTTCTCCAGTGTGAAACATCTCATGTATTTTCAGATTTGTTGACTGACTGAATCTCTTGTCACAGTGTGAACACTTGAACGGTTTCTCTCCAGTATGAATTCTCATGTGAAGCTCAAGATTATATTTGCATGTCAAATTCTTTCCACACTGAGTACAGGTGAAAGATTTCTTGGCTCTTGTTTTCTTTAAAATTATCTGTTTGCTTTGACAGCAACTCAAAGGGTTTTCTCCAGTTTTGAAGTGATTTTTTCCCTCAACTTCACTCAATTCTTCATTCTGCTCATTTTCTTCAGTCAACTCTGAAATAAAAGCAAAAACAGTTGTAACTCATAAAAAAGTGAAAAGACATAAAATTGAAACCTGATGTAACAGCAGAAAGTAGTTACATCAGTTACAATTGCTATACAAAATTTTGATAATTTTGATGCAGTTTTACACACTGAACAAAATTATAAACGCAACACTTTTGTTTTTGCCCCCATTTTTCATGAGCTGAACTCAAAGATCTAAGACTTTTTCTATGTACACAAAAGGCCTATTTCTCTCAAATATTGTTCACAAATCTGTCTAAATCTGTGTTAGTGAGCACTTCTCCTTTGCCGAGATAATCCATCCACCTCACAGGTGTGGCATATCAAGATGCTGATTAGACAGCATGATTATTGCACAGGTGTGCCTTAGGCTGGCCACAATAAAAGGCCACTCATAGTGTTGCGTTTATAATTTTGTTCAGTATAAATACATCTAGTATATTTTATATATACGTCCCTGAAATATTCCATGAATGAGGTACCTTGATTTTCAAATTGTGATTTTTAAAACATAATAGGCACAAAACCCATGTTTCTGAAGGAAGAACTTTTAAATAAGTTTGATCAACAACACAGTTATCTAACAGATGTTGCATAAAGTACTCATTTCATAGAAAGTGTCCCTTATTATTTGATTTAGTTATATTATTGAAGATCTCTAAAGATTTTTCCAATTACATCAAACAAAATCTAAAATTACTTAAACTGTATAACCGTCAGCATTATTAGTGAAGAATGAAGAATAAACACCAACCTGTTTGTTCTTCAGTATCTTCAGTGTGTTTGATTCTGCAGGGTTCTGGATCTCTCATCTTCTCTCTGTCCTCTTTAATAAACTCAGTCTTTACAGATTTCTTCCTGATGATTTGATGCTCATCTGCATTTGTAAACTGATGGGAATATTCCAGCTGAATTTCTGTGTGGAAGAAGCAGATTTGCCGAAATCAAGAAGTGTTGTCTCTTTGTAAATCATTATATCACTATATTAAAAGAGTGTTGGCACAAAAGTAAGAGTGTCGAGCACATCAATTTAAAAGCCTCATTCAGTAACACTGAATGCTGTAATGCCACAGGCATATCGCCCTGCAGCCCAAGACTGGTTGCCTACTGAAGCTAAGCAGGGTTGAGCCTGGTCAGTACTAGGGATGCTCCGATCCGCCTTTTTCGCCTCCGATACCGATTCCGATACCCAGGGTTCAGTATTGGCCGATACCGATACCGATCCGATAGCAGTGAAGTTTTTTTTTTTTCATTTAAATAAATGTAGAATTTATATATCTCTGTGTGTGGAACTGATAATCATTCTTTCACAATCTACTAAATACAGACTACTTCATTATAAAGAAAAATATGAAAAAAATATATGTATATTCATAATCTATGACAAAAATATATCATAAACTAGGTTAGTGGATAATTCGGCAGCAAAAGTTATTCTAGAAAAATCAGTGCACAATAATTTTAGAAATCCAAACATTTAGTGAACACACTGCTATTTGTATTAAAAAAAAACATTAATGAAAAACATTCATGAATGTATTTATAAATAAGTATATACTATAAAATTAAAATACATTAATTTTACTGCTTCAAATGCTCCACCATCATTCCGGTCCCCAAAAAGCCCAAAATCACTGGACTTAATGACTACAGACCCGTCTGTGATCATGAAGTCATTTGAGAGACTGGTCCTGGCCTACCTGAAGGACATCACTGGACCCTTGCTGGATCCTCTTCAGTTTGCCTACAGAGCACTTAACAACCTGGAACTTAACACGCTCAAAACTGTGGAGATGGTCGTGGACTACATGAGAAGAGAGGTAATAAGGCTCTTCTGATTCTGATTTAAATGTATAGCATATTTTTTAATAAGGCAACAACATATGATAGATTTGATAGGACAAAACAAATACAGTGCAGCACGAACTGTTTTTGTATGAGCACGAAGCGCTA